GACAGATAGCCCTCGTGTGCTTTGCCATAATTAAATACACCACAACACCATTCTTCATGTTCAAGCGTCAAGTAGAATATTTTTCATCGGCGCGCAGCAAGAGCGCCACCTATCTACAGAAAAGACGGAACAAAAGCATTAGCTCAGAAGAACTATTAATTAATTTTTGGGATTTTGCGTTGGTTCACTTTATAGGTTAATGCCACCAAATATTAGAGTCCTGCATTATATTGAAAGAAATTAAGTAATAAAGAATCCCCATGAATATATCTATGCTTTTTACAGTGTGAGAAACAACGGTACCTAGAGATATCAAATTTTGAATATCGTAGTCCTCTACTCGAATATGGAATTTGAAATTTGTTTTATTACCTATTTCACATTTTGTAAAACTTTAACCGAATTTTTGATTAACACACTCAAGGATTTCAAAGCTTTCCGTCAGGATTAACATTGCGTGCATCTTCCAAGTACGGATAAGCGGCCGAGCGGTAAAGTCGCTGAACACTGGTAGTTCGATCCGAGGTTCGAATCCCGCGAACGGGCTGGCTGCATGGTCGTTTTCGTGGTTTTCCCCATGTGTAACGTGTATACGAGCCAGTTTTCCCTTAGAAAGTCCTCCACGAAGGCATCCCTTCCCTTAGGCAGATAGCCCTAGTGTGCTTTGCCATAATTAAATAAACCAAACCAAACCAAACCAACCAAGTGCGGATATTTTATGTCAGAGGTTTCTTTTTTGTAATATTTGCTGTTGAACTGAATTTTATGGTTTAAGTGCGAAGAATGGGATATTTAATAAATAAAGGTAGCACAAAAAAGGTTTTTAAAAACGCCCCTTTGAGGATAATAAAAATTCTGAAAACTTTTGGATTTTTTTTTTTATTTGTAATTTTTGTTTTAATGCACATGACATAAATTTGAAGATTTGTGTAACGTATGATAGCTCATATGTCGAGCTCAAGTTTAATTAAGTTTAAAAAAAACTTTTAAAAAAATTAATGGCGAGCACTTGCCTATTCGACATTTGCCATTCATAAAGTACAGTTTTCTGCATTTTACTGCGGAAGGACCTAATAGGTGGCCGCCATTGTCTGCTATGAAAGGACAGACAGAACTTCTTTGGGATTCGAGCCTGGTCTTTTCGGTACTGTAGTAGGCTCCCCTAACCATTATAACATCTGGGCGACAGTTTAAATAAGTGTTATGTAGTAAAATGTAATTGACATTTACCTCGGCTAAGGTAAGCTACATTCATTATGAGACATTCTTTTATCTTAATAATTTTATAAAAAAATCTGATGTGTACACCACATGACTTCCTTGCACTGAATATTAAATTATACGCATTTTTTCTTGCATTTCATTTAAACTTATTGGATTGAATTAAATCTACTTCGCCGACAGCGCATAAACCACAATAGAATAAATGCCTTTTAAAATTCACTCTGCTTGTTTACCATTCCGACACTCTGGCGCTAGATTCACTTAACAGTATTATATTTCGTTCGTATTATAACTCAGAATGCACAAAATTTATATCCTTTAAAGAATTATCTAATTGTTGCCACATGTTCTATTCAAATACTATAATAAAGCTAGAACGATGTATAAAAGAAATTAAGCAAACAAAACAAAAAAGAAACAGTTTTTCACAGACGGTTGTGTATTTCTCATTCAATTAATTCAGTTCTCACTTCGCAACAAGGCAAAAATATATAAAAACCCAAAATACATACGTATTAAAAATTACGAAGTACAGGGGTTGGACAAAAATATGGAAACACCTTTAAGAAAACATGTTTCTTTGCTTAATATGGTGTAGGAAACCCGTTGGCATCCAAAACAGCTTGCAGTCTTCTCGGAATGGATAAATACAGTTCCTGTATGTTTGCCAATGGAATATCATACCATTCTTCCTGCAAAACGGTGGCAAGTTCAGATAACGATGTTGGCGGTGGATAACGAGAACGCACTTTCCGTTCCAATGTAGACCACAAAGGTTCGATAATATTCAGGTCTGGTGACTGTGGTGGCCAGGGGAGATGGAACAACTCATCCTCGTTCTCAGAAAACCAGTCCTGGACAATGTGAGCTGTGTGAACAGGGGCTTTGTCGTCTTGGAAGACACCATCACCATCGGGGAACAAAGTTTGTACCATGGGATGAACTTGATCGGCCAAAATGTTCACATAAGTGTTGACAGTCATGTGTCCTGACACAGTTATCATGGGGCTAGCAGAGAACCACGATACGGCTGCCCAAACCATAACAGAACCCCCCGCCATGTTTCACTCTTGGCAACAAGCAGTCTGTATTATAGGCTTGAGATGGCGTTCTCCAGACGTAAACTCGGCCAGAAGTGGGAAACAATGTGAAAGAAGACTCGTCAGACCATATTACTCGCTTCCACTGCTCTATAGTCCAGGCTTTATGACTTAAACACCACCTTTTCCTGTTACGGGCATTAGCATCACTGATGAGTGCCTTCTCAATTGCAGCACGGCCAGCAATTCCCTGTTTATGAAGCTCCCTTCTAATTGTTTTGGTACTCACAGGGTTAACACAACATTCATTTCAGCAGTAACTTCGGAAGCACCTACCGTACGTGCTCCAACAATTTGCCCACGTTCGAAGTATGTTAACTCTGACATAATACAATGACAACCTCACATAACGGTACTCCGACAACAACTGAACTGTTTAGCACATTTAGGAAGTTGTATAGGTGCCGTCAGTAGTCAAAAACGCCAGCGCCACCTACATATTTCATTAAAATCAATCTTTCTTTTCAAACATGCATTTCACAAGGTGTTTCCATATTTTTGGTCCATCCACTGTAAATCTTAAACGCTTATTTCCTCGAAAAAATTCCAGAAAGAATTAAGCATGATTTAATTCGCAATAATAAATGAAGGCGTTATCTTTGTTGTTGCGAAGCTAAGTTTCTCTAGATTGGCAACAATTCCACTATCCTGCTGTTTCAAATGTAAACAAACAATGGCAGCCATTAAAAACAGGCTTAGCGGCAATTAAACAACTTTAAAATTGCTGATAATTCTAAAAATATTGCACACAGATTTACTAAAGGCATAAAATCTTTAACCGGAAGATAAAAACAACATAATTCAATCGTTTTTAAAGCAAAAAATGTACAATTTAGAAACATATAAGAGTAAAGGATCTGAGATTACTGAACCGGGTAACAGGCTGGATATATATATAAATATATTTATATACGTTTGGTGCGGCCGATTGCAACCAAAATACGAGGTGCACATCTACGTGTTATAGCAGTCCTATATACAAAATTTCAACGTTCTGAGGCTACTCGTTTTTTGAGTTATGCGAGATACGTACGTACGTACATACGTTTGTACAGACGCCATGAAAAATTCTCTTCAGAATTCATTTTAAAGCAGTTTTATAATTTTTTTTGGAGAAAAAGACTCTTTTATTCTGTCCTTACGTACAAATATCAAGCAAAAACATCGTTAAATTGCATTCAATAGCGGTCGAAATGGATGTTTTCGTTGAAATATGCTGCCTGAAACTTTTCGCGATTACAATACTTCCTTTTTACTTCGTACAAGGAAGTAAAAAAGGTATCACTTAATCCTAATCTTCAGTTTAAGCTAATTTGAAATTAACACCAAAAATGCGCTATCCGTTGCAATGTGGAAAGCTATAAAAGTTCGGGCATTTATTTTTTGAAGTGTTCTTAGTCGCAGTTATTTCAATGCTTGCAACTACTGTATATTTTAGACTATAATTGTTTTTTTCTGCAATGTAATGTATAATAGAGATTTCAACATATAAACGAAAAAGATCTGATTTTTAAAAACACGTTGATGCGAGTATTCTGGAATAATCAGTCATTTGGCTGTCGCTGGTATTTTTAAACCAGCGAATTAAATTGAAATTAGTATTGTATTGTAATTGAATTTAATTGAAATTAGTATTGTATTGCAATCGCGAAAAATTTCGCTTATCATAGTTCAACGAAAATACCCATTTTGACCTCTCTCGAACCCATTTGAACGATGTATTTGCGTAATATGTGTACGAACAGACAAAATAAAAGACCCCCCCCCTTTTTTTTTTTTTTTTTTTTTTTTTTTTTTTTTTTTTTTTTTTTTTTCAAAATGGATTGAAATTAAAATACATTCAAAAGAGATTTTTCCGGACGTCTGTACGTATGTATATACGTATGTATCTCTCGCATGACTCAAAAACGAGTAGCCGTAGAACGCTGAAACATTGTATACGGGACATCTCTAACATTCAGTCGTACACCTCCCTTTTCTATTGCAGTGGACCACACCACACATGTATAAATGTATATATACATATATTGATCTCTGTTACCTAGCTCGGTGAACTCAATTTTATATTCTTATATGTTGGTAAATTGTGCACCTTTTACTTTAAAAGCGATTGAATTATATTCTTCTTATGTTCCGATTAAGGTGTCCTATGCGTTTAATTAATCTGCATGCAACAGTTGTATAATTATCAACAGTTTAAAAGTTTGAAAAGGGCTAAACCTAACGAGGCCGCCATTTGTTTACATTTGAAACCCTTAGTAGAATAGTGAATTAAGTCAATCGGTAGACCACCTTCAGTGTCTTTTTGCCAAGTGGCATCAAAAGTTAAGTATGAATTTTGTGCGCCAAAAAATTTTGTCTTCCTGGCAGCTGGCCGAATTGCTTGTTTTTGCGCAGAAGCTCTAATTGCAAAAATTGTTTTTTAAATTGCTTTTAACTCTATTTGGTGTTTTATGTTTTCCTGTATTTTACAATTTTTAACGAATATGTTTTCGTGTTTGTATGTACTTTTGACCTACCGTGAAGTGAAAACTGAATATATTGAATGAGAAATATATCTCTAATGAAATTGGAGGAAATAAGTTGAAATGAAGTGCAGCAAAAAATGTGCAGTTATGCGGTGACTACATCAGCTATTTTAAATTAGTTAAAATACGTCTTTTTTACTACTTACAGCTCCCAAGCCTCCCAGCAGCATCGTGCCGTATACAGAGCCCACGGGAACTCCAATACCCCAGAAACATTGTCCTGAAGGCTATAAACTCTGCGGTGATGGCGAAACATGCATCCCGGGTCTTCTGCTTTGCGATGGAATTCTAGATTGTCCAGACGGTTCGGATGAAAAGTACGGATGCGGTAAGTGTACCTTAAAAGTATTTGGAAGAACAAGTGCAGGTTGTTTAAGAACTTAGGTTGTTTAAGAATGTGCCAAGATGGTACTAATGAATTTTAAATATCCTGAAATGAAAAAAAAAGGAAAGTTCATTATATTATTATTTACGTGTTCCGCCCTAAGGCACTACAAGCAAAGGAGGGATGGCTTCGTTCAGGACTTCCTAAGGAAAACTGGCTCGTATTAACATTTTAAATATGAGAGAAACCACGAAAGTGCTCATGAAACCAGCCAGTTCGCGGGATCCGAACCCCGCACCGAACTACCAGTGTTGAACAACTCTACAGCTCGGCCGCTGGTGGACCTCAGAAAGCTCATTGATTTTGTATCTTTCTTTAACCCTTTCGCCGTCCACTCCTGTACGCAAAAATTTCCCCCCCAGCGGGCCGTCTGTTTTTTGTAGCGTGTAATATTGTTTCCTCTGTACATCATAATTTTCCATACATTACTTTCGTAGTAGATGAATGCCAATGAATATTAAGCAAAATTATAAGGAAATAAAGTATAATGGAAAAATAATAATATCTCTGCTTATTTCTACCAGCAGGATAATTTAACATCTGATCCAGACGATCCACTCCTCCCATTTTGTTGTTGTAATCTTTTACAATTATTGGTTTTTTTACAGTTCTTTTCCCTGTTCCAACATCAATCATCGAGTTATTATGGACTGTACTCATCAAACGTATATATTTCTTGTCTTTCCAATTCGCAACCTCACTTTGTCTCTTTTTCTGCTGAATAGACGTTGAAGCCATCTCTCACTGTCTTGTATCTTATGTAAAATTTCGCGAATTTTCATAAAACCCGGGGCAAATTCCATTAGAAATAGAATGCCTGATTGGTGCTGCCCTCTAGGAGGTATTTAGAACAGGTGAGAGCAGGTCCGGACACCCGGACGGCTTACATAGACTATTCGGATATCGTCCGGAACCCGCAACTATCTGAAGCTACACTCCGAAAACAATACAAGGGCAAAGTACATGGCCATACAAGGGCAAAATATAGATTTTTCTGCATGCGAAATTAAACATTTTCCTGGCCACATCGCATGTTAACACATTGCTACACATACTCGCTACAATATACATTTCATAATATGCATTGCGTTGATCATTGCACTGTACTTAAGGCACATTTACAACTCAACAACTCAATGCTACACTTAATACACTATACTTTGCAACATATTACACTGAACATCATTCTTGACAATTCAACATAGATTCTGAACAATGTAATTGTTTAAATAAGACATAACTGGATTATATAGTACATAACTTCGTTATGTACTATATATTTATTATAGGTATTTAGAACAAATAAACATAAAAACTCAAACAAGTAAACATTTATAAAGCGTTCTAAACGTTTAAAAGTTTTAAAATGTAGATGAACGCTTGAGGCGCGTTACGGCCGCCCTGCGGAAGTTTCACTTGAACGCGCTAGACGCGTTACGGACGACGAAGAGGTTAAAAATTTTTTGAACCATACTATCGTAAGTGGAACCTCCAGAACATAATTATCTCGCAATATTTAGAAAACAGTTCTTGTCCCACTGAAATTTTACAATTTGGGTAATTTGAACAAAATTAAATAGCTGACATTTTCCGCTAAAATTTTTAATTTTTTTTTTTTTAAACTTTCAAGTTTGTAATACAGTGAAGTCAATACGTATTCGGAACAAACAATTTTTTTAAGTGAGATTTTAATGTTAAACGAAAATACGCTGTGTCAAAGGACTGTTGCAAAATCATTAAAATGCTCAGTGTCAAATGTAAACAAAGTGATTATTGCCTATTTGAATCTTAAAAAGGTGAAAAACATACATCGTCTGTCTTCACGACATATCGCCGAACACGGAAACGTGATGCAGAATTCTTTATCAGAAACATTTATTCAGACAAAACTGATAAAACGTTGTCACAATAGACGAATCTTGGGACTTTTAAGTGACTGCGATAAAAAGACATAAAATTCTTGTCAGTTCATCATATCAATGCTCAATTTTCTTAGTAAGAAGACTTACAAAACATTTTTTTGTCTATTTATTATTAACCTTTTGTGAGTCAACTTTATATATTAAATATCACATTCTCCGTACTTACGATACATGAAATTCTATTCAACAGAAAAATCGCAAAATATTTCAAAACAGCATATCTTTAGAGATCCCGATAGACAGTCTCGCGGGCTGAAGATAAAAATGGTTTATTCCATAAAACTGACATTTCATGAAACTTCCATAAAACATTTAACTGACTAGTGACTGTTGCCACTAGTCAGTTTCAAATCTTTGAGTTTGTTACTCAAAAATTCAATAAAATTTACGTAATATGAAACATAAAATTCGAAATTTAAAATTCAGGCTTCTACGTACATATTTTCGAGTGGAGGACTGCGTTATTCAAAATTTAATGCCCCTAAGTGCCATCGTTTTTTCAACAATGCGTGGAATATCTCTCTATATATATGTGATGTACCAGCTTTTGTCCGGAATAAATAGATTGGTCAAGAATCATAGATGTAGTTGTAGTTCAAAAGTATCAGACGATAAGTTTAAAAAACAGGATCCATTTACTATTATTATTCAGGAGAAATAGCAATTACAAAAATTTGATCTCCGGAGTAAATAAAAAACGAATTACTAATAACTTTTTGTATGAAGTTTACTGCATCGTTACATTAAAGAAAAGACCCCGATATTCCTTTGCGAGTCCTTTTATAGCCTCTGGAAAGGCGGAGCTTCCAAGAAATGACGTCAGCCTCGTCAGTCATTCCTAGGGCCCACCAGCGGCCGAGCGGTAAAGTCGCTGAACACTGGTAGTTCGGTCCGAGGTTCGAATCCCGAGAACGGGCTGGCTGCATGGGCGTTTTCATGGTTTTCCCCATGTGTAACGTGTATACGAGCCAGTTTTCCCTTAGAAAGTCCTCCACGAAGGCATCCCTCCTCTTAGGCAGATAGCCCTCGAGGCTTTGCCATATTCACACACACACGTCAGCCATTCCAGTTCGCTTTAAATATCTCCAGAACATTCTATGACTGTACGTGTAGAAAAAGGCTGGAAAAACAACTTGACTACGGGGCTGTGGATTTAATTCCACGTACTTTCAAATAAGAGACCGTCGCCATTAAAAATGAAAAGAACATACAGTTAGAATTTTAAGTATTCTTGACTATGGAATTTTGTTATTACATATATATATGCAGCAAATTCTTCATAATTTAATTTCATTAACAAACTTATATAGGGGTGATAATATTTGGTGGCAACAATTTTAAAAGGTATTCGCCATTTACAGTGGGTGGTACAAAACCCTGTTTCAAATCTTATAGCCCTTTCGAGCTAACGGTCTTTTGGGTTAAAAGGGTCAACGAATTCTACGCTGTTTCTTGAACAGCAATTTTTTTTCCTTAAAATTAACCATTGCTTTTGCTGCTTTGAAATATTTTTATTTTTTATTTTTTTTATTTTTTTTTTTTAGTGGAAAAAAAAAAAAGAGCAAGTGTTTTTTTTTTTTTTTTTTTTTTTTTTTTTTTTTTTTTTTTAAGTAGCTCTGTATTTGTGCCCTTAGACTTCTTAATTAGTATTATCATACTCCATAGAATTAGTAATTATTTTATCATAATTTACATTTCTCTTCTTCTCAGGAAATGCACGGCTATGTACAGAAAAGTTCTACTTCTGCATGGATCGGGCTCATCCTCCCTGTGTGGCGAGAGAGAAGCTGTGTGATGGAGTAAACGACTGCTCTGATGGATCCGATGAAAGCATTTGTGACAGTAAGTAGAATTCTAAAACCTTTGGTTTCCTGAGTTATCTGAACCCGTTTGCAGTTATCTTATAACCTGATTCCTCATGAAAACTGATTTCTTATGTAAACTGATTTTTGTCGTGTCATTTTTAAAAAATATTACCCTATTAAATATTTTGAATCCTTTTAATAATTTTAAAGATTACCTTTAGTATTAAAATGGCTTCCACCTTCTATAATTATTACAGTATAAAGCTTTATACCCATTATAAAAAGTAAAACTCAAAATGTTTAACTAACCCTCCAATATAACGCTGTTTTTGTTGTTTGACTTCTAAATTAATACCCTCCAAGATACTTAATTTCAAAATTATTAAGATTTTTGCATCTTTTTTGACTTAGGAGATCATCATAAAATAAATTAAAATAATTTGAGCTTGAATTTTCTCTCTTTGAGAGGTGTAAGTAAAATACCTGACTAATTTACTGATTGATTTCCAAGTGAAAATTCATTACATAGTTGATTACACACTCTTTTGCAAAGACAAAAATAATCCTTAAAACATAATCCGATCATCTCGAAATTTTGTGTGCAAATATATTCATACCAAGTATTCAAATGATTAAATTTTTAAAGCCATTGATTCGGTCTAAGTGCTTCGGAGGCATTTCAGTCTTAAGCGCACGTTTCTACTACGCAGCTAGCATTGTATAAAACAATTAGCATTTGCGGATAGTTTATCTTTTCTCATTATCGGCGTTGCACTTCCTTGAACACACAACCAAAAATGCTATTCGAATGCTTGTCGAATACTTCATAGACAACCGTATGACTTCGAACGTGGTCGTATACGAGTAGTAGGGATGGGTGGAGCTGGCTGGTCATACTGAGCAATACTATTTCGCCACATGCGCCGAACGGTCAAAGATGTTGGCAGCAATGGTCTACAAAGTATTCATCTGCAGAATCAAGGCTCTGGAATGCGAGATTAGATCGTATGATTGGCGACATCCCGAAAAGCCCCAACGGCATAATTGTCCACTATCCAACGTACTACAGCTTCTTCAACATACCTGTGGCACCTTCCACTCTCTCACGGCGCTTGGCTAAGGCAGGATTGCGCTCACAGCGGCTTTTAAGACATCTGTCTTTAAACCCACAACATCAACAGAAGCGTCTGGAGTTTTATCGTACCCGATCATCATGGTTGCCAGCCGATTGGTATTGAATAGTCTTCAACGACGAATCTCGCTTCAATCTTGGAGCAGATGACTATCGGGTCCATGTATGGAGTGGTCAGGACCGCTGGTCCCAATCAGCCATAGTTTTACAGAAGCAACCAGCCATTACCCCTGGTATAATGCTATTATTCGCTATTTCTTACCACAGCATGTGGACCCTATTCAGTCCACATACAACTTTAACAGTAATTTGATACGTGACGTTGATGACATCCTGCGACCGTTTTCGGTACTCTTCATGCCACGCCATCCTGAAATCGTTTTCCAACAGAGACCAATGCTAGACCCATACGGCTTGTGTATCTCTGGATTGTCTCTGAGTTGTTGATACTCTCTTTTGACCAGTAAGGTTACCAGACGTTTCAGCAATCGAACATGTATGGTAATCGAACATGTATGGCAATCGAACATGTATGGCTATCAGATTCGGACACACCAAAATGTTGGATATCTGGAACAACAACTGAGGAATGCCTATCAGAATGCATCGCGTAATGAGATTAGGAATCTTTATCACCCCTTACCTCAACGTTTACAAGCATGCATCATCGCCAGGATGGTCACTCCTTACTAATTTGAATATTCCATGTACAATTGCTGGTCGTTGATGGGTCCAATTCCTTGAATTTTTAATCATTTCATTTCCTATGTATGAGCTGTAGGCATAATTATTTTCAACAAAAACAGTCATTTTCTTCATATTGCAGTTTTTTTTTTTTTTTTTTTTTTTTTTTTTTTTTTTTTTTTGTGTGTGTGTGTGTGTGTGTGTGTGCAAAAGTGTATTTTACTTATAGAAAGAACATATAATTATTATAATTATATCAAAATTTTAATTTTAATTTCTATCCTCAGTAATATATTTTTGAGAAAAATCTTTGAAAGTGCTTTGAGGAGACATTTTTCAAGTGCATGATCACCCACAGGTACACACAAAAATTTATATTCTTCATAAAAACACTTCAAATTTGCATTTAAATCCACAAATATATTCCAAATTTAAAGAGAATCTGTTTTTATACTCCTACAACTTAAAACAACGTAAATCATTTTTTAAAACGATCAGTGACTTCGATGGTTCATTTTTTATTCGGGATAAATTGAAACAGGTTAACTAAATGCATTTAAGTAAATAAATTATTTTTACAAAATTGATTGTTTAAATCTTAAAAACCCAATTCTATGAATATTTCCCTTATTTGAGACATTTTTATACATCGAAATGTATGTCATAGATTAATGGTCCATCACGATGAATGACTCATAAAGACATTATGAACGCGCTGTATTAAACATTGAATTGAGATTAAGACACAATAACACGCCGAATACTAATTCAGAAGTCAAACAACAAAAATCAGCGTTATATTTACAAAATTTTCACAGGACTAGTTTCGATGGTTTTACCGAACCACCATCCTCAGCTGCAAAACCGCAAATAAACAAGATAGGAAATAATGATTAGATAAGATAAGAAAGCCTGGACAAGAATAAGCAAGTGCCGCAATCTGTTGGTGAAACCAGAACTAAAACATAATTTCTTTAAAGGCCGAAGGCAAATTTGGATTGGAATTAGGATCGTTAACAGAACAGAAAGATTTTTATGAATGTGAAATGCCTCTAGAAAATCCAGTTCTCCAATGGAAAATGTTAACGATCCTAATTCCAATCCAAATTTGCCTTCGGCCTTTAAAGAAATTATGTTTTAGTTCTGGTTTCACCAACAGATGGCGCCACTTGCTTATTCTTGTCCAGGCTTTCTTATCTTATCTAATCATTATTTCCTATCTTGTTCATTTGCGGTTTTGCAGCTGAGGATGGTGGTTCGGTAAAACCATCGAAACTAGTCCTGTGAAAATTTTGTAAATATAACGCTGATTTTTGTTGTTTGACTTCTGAATTAGTAATGAATTGAGATTCAAGTCTTGTAGAAAGCTTTTTAGGAAGCAGAAATAAGTTACTGCCTCTTTTACTAAAATGTTTGTTATGTGACTTGCAAATGCGCGAGCAATGAATTGCTAATTTTATGTTTTACTCTCGTTACAGAATGCCCGGTAACCTTCTGCCGAAATGGAGGAAACTGCTCCATTATTAAGCGGGCTCCCATTTGCCAGTAAGTTAACTTTTTCACTTGTTACCTTAATTGTATGCTTTTCCAACTAAATAGCGCCATGTTTATATTTTCCGCAAATGAAACTCGTTCTAACTTTTTGATTCAATAATTTCATAAAACAGTCCTTAAACGCTAATGTATTCTTTTCTGAAACGCAAGTCTCCTATATTCACTTTTCTGTTTGTAAATTGACAAGTACTATAAGGCAGCGGTTCTCAATCTTTTGACCATCTAAAAAAATTTGAAAAATTTTAGTACCACCACTACACTTTACAATGATTATTTTTCAATTTTCTCAATAGAAATATTTTTAAAAAAAAAATATATGTATTGCACAACCTATTGGTTATTTCTATTCAATACGCATACAAAAATATTAGCATTTAAATTTGATAAATTATCAAAAATTAAGTTATAATACTTTAATTCTAAAATTTAGTGCGAAATTTGGGCCTGTTTGAGATCAATTTCTTTATGTCTGATCTTATTTCACTTAGTTTTGACCGTACATTGGGATCTTTTTGAAATCTTCAACTACAGTTCGATCATAGAAAATTTCTATCAACTGTTTTTTTTTTTTTTTTTTTTTTCTTCGCGAGACAAAATTTCAGGTACATTTGAACAAAATGGATATCTAATCCAATTTTCTTTTTCATCATCCTCGGCAAAATTCATGTTGAAATTATTTATCAATGAAAAACAATTATTTGTAATGTCGGATGCTAATTCTTCTTTTATTTTAAAATTACTTTCGGTTAGAAAACTTTCTAGATATGGTAAACAGATTAAAATATTATTATGCAATTCATTGTTTATTAGCTCGAGTTTTTTATCATTGCATAGTTTTTTATCTCTGTTGGTAAACAAAGTAATGCTTTGTCCTTATCATCTCAAATTTAATTCATTTAACATTCCAAAAATATCAGCTATATACGCTAAACGCCCCAACCATAATTCACTAAATAAACATTTTTAAAATTCAAATTTTGAATCACAGAGGAAAATGTGAATTCCCGATTGAAGTTCAAAACCATTTAAAACTTTCCCATTTGTATACCCACCCTACTTCGGAATGTAACAAAAGCGTTTCATGCCCACTGCGCATCTCTTGGCAAAAAATCGTACATATTCTTGAATTTAAAGCTCGGCTTTTAATAAAATTAACTATTAACACAGCTTGATTCAAAACAATTTTCAGGTTTTCGAGGATTGTTTCAGCTATTAAGGCTTTACGATGAATGGAACAGTGTGTAAATTTAGTTGAATGAGCTATTTTCTTTATTTGAGAAATAACAGCAGAATGTTTTCCTGTTAAAGGCCAACGCTCCGTGACTACGTACGGCAGTGAAAGTATTCCAAGGAATATCATTCTCAAACAAAAACTGTCAATTACATTTCAATTTCATTTACAGTTGCTCTAGCATGAAGAGATTCGCAACATACTCTTCGACAATTAGTTTATCTTCTTCGAAACGTATGTAAATTAATAATTGAACAAAGTTCGTTATGTCAAAACTTTCATCCAGTTGCAATGCAAAATATTCACTGTGTTTAATTTTTGGAATAAGTGTCTCTTTTATGGAATTTGCCATTTCATGAATTCGTCGACTTACTCTATCATTTGATAACGGAATAGTATATAGCTTTTTCGTTTAATGACTTCAAAACGATATCTTTAGTTACTGGTAATACGAGGGCAATCCCCGAAAAAAGGTCTCCTATATTTTTAGATATACAAAGAACCGTTTATTTTCTATAATTGCTACATCACTTTAAAGATTGAAGAATGCTTTATTTTTCAACATAATCACCATTTCGGTCGATGCATTTTTGTAGACGCTGTGGCAGTTTTACAATGCCCATGTCATACCACCTTGCCGCCATGGCTTTCAGGAAGCGACAATCGAGTCCAAGAAGTTGTCCTTTTCGTTTCCATAGCGGCGAAGAAATTCGCGGGAAGAATCAACCCGTTGCCGTTTGTGGTCTTCTGTCAGCATACGCGGCACCCATCTTGCACACACCTTCCAATATTGCAACTTTTCCGTTAAAATCCTGTGGATGGTGCTTCTGGAAACCTCAGGAACCAAAAGAGCATCCAGAGTCATCCTCCGATCTTTACGCATGAGTTCCTCAACTTTCGCGATTGTCTCGTTGGCAATTGACGGCCTCCCGCTCCTTTCTTCGTCATGAAATTCAGTACGACCGGCTGTAAACTCTCTACACCACTTGCGAACATTTTTGACATCCATGCACGACTGTCCATACACTTCCGTCAACAGGCGGTGAATTTCAACCGGTTTAACGCCTTTTGCGTTCAAAAATCGAATAACTGCTCGCACTTCGCACTTGGCGGCTACGTTTATCGGGAGCTCCATTTCGAACGGCTGCCAAGCCAAGACTGAGCATCCTAGCGAAGCGCCTGCGTGCTTATGTGATAGCGGAGAAGGCACCACTCACAACAGTGTTGCCAACAACCGTATTAAAACTTTCTGTACGTCCCGAAAAAATAGGAGACCCTTTTTTGGGGGATCGCCCTCGTATAAGGTTTTCTCCAACAGTGTAAGCCTGTTCAGTCTTGGAATTCTTAGGTTTCCAAAGTTTTTCCCTTGAAGTAACAAAAACTTTCATTACTTTTTTATTGTTTTTGAACTCAGATAAATTTCTCTTAAAATATTCTTCAGATTTATCCTTTAAACTGACATGCTTAGATTCAGGATGTTGGGACAATTAATTTTCGCATTCAAATACTTTGTTTCTTTGCATACCACCGGTTGAGAACCCCTGCTATAAGATATTTTCTCCCTCCGTCCATCATGCCTTTGTGATGTAACAGTTTGTGGGGCAGACTGTGATACCAAAGGTCCCGGGTTGCATATTTCACAAGTGCACATCAGCGTAGCCACTGAGGGAGGGATTTCGAAAATGGACCAATGAGCTTCTATTGCTCTTGTGACGCTAAATCTTCGTGCATGTGAGCGTATGTTGATTGCATTTTAACCTTTTAAGGCCGGGGCTTTGGTAGCAGTAAAAGCTACCAAAGGACGAGGAATCTTGAACCGAATGCTTTTCCCCTGTAAAAAATAACCTCCTATTTGCAACAAAGATTCTTGTGTGTAGTTTAATGGATTCTCAGAGAGTTGCATCTATGTCGCAAAAGGCAGACCTTTGAAAGAGATAAATGGTTAAAACCCTAGGGACGTCAAATTTGACATTTCACCCCACTTTTCAGCCTGGAAAATGGGGGAAAAAGACATGGCCACTAAAGTGGACAACCCCGTCTTTTCAAAGAGAGGACTCTATGGCCACTATAATGGCCATCCCGTCTTCAAAAGGTTAAATTGGATTTGTTTAGCAGACGTAAATATATGGCGTAATGGTAGAAAAATCTCGTACTGCTTTTGTTTTCTGATTTTCATTAATTTATGATATTTTACTTTCTCTATTTTTATCACGCATTAATATTTGGATTGATGTTCACGGCATTTAGATCGAGAAAATGACTCAAGTTACAATTAGCCTCGAGTATTATGCATTGACTAACACCTGTGGATTAAGAGAATATTTAAGTGTATATTTTTTTTAATTGAGCTGAGAAGAAATGGAAGTGTTACAATCAATCCAATGTTTCCTTATTTCAGTGCTTTTGATTTTGAAAGTGTAAGATTCAGAATACATATTGTGTATGATCTGATTATATCCATTGTTAACATTAAAAGTTATATGTGAATAAATTGAATATATGCATTGTGAATAATTTATCACTCTTTAGAATGAATAATAAATTCATTCTGTTTGATGAGCATTTCTTATGTAGACAGTACATTTAAGAGTGAACAGTTATTAAATGTGAAATCTAACGCACTAAATGTTTACGAATGCAATTTAGTACACTTCACTAGCATTGGCTATTATTATAGAACATCTTGTTCATATAGACTGCAGTAAAAGAGCTGACTTCTATTTACATATATAATTGGAGTAAATATTTTTCTCGTATGCATAGTTTTATGTAAAGATAGCATTTGGGCCCGGATGTTTATCACATATTTCTTTCTTCATCTTATTTACCACTTATTAAGTAATATTTCACATGGATATTTTTGCGGAGTAACCAACATGTGTTTTTATTTATATTAAATTCTTTCAATCAGATAGTGAAATCCTCACAGTTGCTTATATTTGATCTAACTTCGCAATGAACATTTTCAGAAGAAATCGGCGACGTTTTAATTATTTTCTACAAAACATTGCGTCGCAAAATATTTGCAACCATCTTGCTTAAATCTTAAAGCACGCGAAAGGTCATGTGACATGGCAGAAATATTACTGGATGCCCATTGGTCCGTCCTGGAAGCCACTCCCTCGGTGGCTTCACAGATGTGCACTTGTGAAATATGCTCCCGGGTTCGATTCCCGGAGAAGGCATGGTTGTAAATGTCTGTCCCTTCATAAGAGGCAAAAGTGGCCCACCTTTGGGTTCCTCCATAATTAAGTCACTACCTCTTTCAGCCTTAGTAGTGTCCAACGTCTATGATGACTGCCATTGGGGAAAAAAATGTTGTGGTAACATGGATTTCCAGAATGTGGCGATAGCTTAATGCAATTTACCTCTAAGCTGCATAAAGCTCACTCCAAGCTGGCATTTCCGTCTCCTTCTGATCAGATGAAATAGCAACACTCGCAAGTCGTTTACGATAAGACCCTCTTCATAAAAGCAATAATGTCTTGATCCAAAGACTGAAGAAGACATTGGGAGAAGGAACCTTTACATAGGCTAAGTTGAAAAATATTGAAAGTTCGTGTTAAATGAAAAAAATCTAATGACGAAACGGACTAAAAACACAGTTCGTAATTCGTGCTAACCGAAATTCGCGTTCACCGATAAAACAGCCTGTGAAATCATGTACACCACTGTCGGGACGAAATTTTGTTTATGGTTAACCGAGCATTCACCTTAAGCGAGCTCATGTTAACGGGGGGGGCTAATATACATCCCAATCGACCAGTGTCATAGCACTGTGATGTAGTTGCAAAGATTCCAGAAATTACCGAAAATTGGAAACGCAAAAATAATAGTCTTTACAAGTTCCAAAAAGAAACGATACGTGAGGTTTAATACGAATATTATTATTGTCTGTAAATAATGCCTTGGGCTAATCTTTGAAATATGGTAACAGGTAGTTTGGACATTTTGGTAAGGCGATAAAGGTTACTAGCTAGGACTTCAGCAATAATCTGAGAAGTACACAGTTCGAATCACAGATTATTTTGTCTCAGAGAAATGAGAAATCATGAGACATGTAATGTGACATTTTCTGGAAAATTCCCATCGAGATTCTTGCTAATAAGCACTTAGAAACAATTTCGCTGCTACAGTGCAGAATCGTCCACTTATTTGCTTGGCGCTTTTTGCAAGAGTAGGAAGAATTGGATTTTTGCCAATTTTCTTTGACTTTTTAAGTGAAAATAGGTCAATGTGTACATGGATAAAGTCAAGAGTGTGCGCAATGCCATTTTTTTGCAAATCTGGGATGTTCTTTTGATGAAGTGAAAATAGGTCGACGTGTACATGGATACCGTGTATATGCAATTCTTAAAAACACGCGCAAGCAGTGGGCGATTCTACACTTTCTCCCAATTTCGCACCTAATCTTCCTCATGATTAAGCACTTTTGTTCCATAAAAGTTCTACCATAAGCGTAATTCGGCTAGCAGAATGTTGGAAAAAATGTTGAGTAAAAAAAAAAAAAAAAAAAAAAAAAAAAAAAAAAAGCATGCCTTTACTTCGTGAAAACAAAATGGCGTTCAAATAATAAAAAAAAAAAAAACTAGCAAGTTGTTGTAGCAGGGTTGGTCGCCAAAGTTTCGCCAAAAAATCGCCAAGTTACCATAATCCGAAGATTCACCATGCCTTGTTTCTTCTTTTGTACGTTCCTATGCAGCTTAGAGTTAAATTTTGCTTTTTATTTTTCTTCAATAGATGCAAACCTGACTATGCTCAGAACAGATGCAGTAATGAAATTGTGACACCAGATTTGGAAGAGAGAATACAGCATTCCGGTAAGTACAAAAAGTTAGCTACCAGCAATTGTTGAATCAATAATATAATTTACTGAAAAGAACGTTCAGCTAAGTTTAATCTCTTGAAAGAGCTACAGAAAACAAATTTACAAGCTCAGTAGTTTTCTTCCATACAATATTGTTATATTTTATATTACAATGGCATTCTGATTTCGTAAGATAAGCATTAAAATTTTTCATGTTTAGAAAAATATTTTAATGTAAATATTAGCTCATGAGGACATTTTTATATGTTTAATATATTCTATAACCTATTAAAAACTTTATTCATTTATTTAACCATGTTGAATTTGTCTCTATCCTTTCTTTTTGAAAATCAATTATTTTTAGTGTGTATTGACTATTTTTTTACATGATTAATTATTACAAACTATTACAATTATAATAATAAACTATTATAAATATTATAAACTATAACATTTATAATTAACTATCACAAACTGTTTACAGAGGGTCATGTCGGCTGGATCGTCGGTACAGTTACTGGAACTATTCTCTTCATAGCAATTCTGTTTATTATATGGTACAGGAGAAATACAAACGCGTAAGTAGTTAATTTGAATTCTCTTTATTACTCTTTAAAATATGAACGTTTCAATAGAATTTTCAGGAATATATTTTTTTATTTGTTAAGCATGAATTATTACCTCTTGAATCATGTTAAAATTCTTCTAACAGGATATAACTTCTAATTCAGAAGTCAAACAACAAAAATCAGCGTTATATTCACAAAATTTTCACAGGACTAGTTTCGATGGTTTTACCGAACCACCATCCTCAGCTGCAAAACCGCAAATGAACAAGATAGGAAAATTTCCTATCTTGTTCATTTACGGTTTGACTTCTGAATTAGTATTTATTCGGCGTGTTATTGTGTCTTATGATATAACTTACTGTTAAGAATAAATAAACATATATGATTTCATCTCATAAAATTATAATCAATCCTTAGTAACGTACGTAAGAAATTTAAAATATTAATGATATGTATAAAGTAGTACTGTCATCTCATACAAACTATTACAGAAATTAGCCTTAAAATCTAACTCATATTTGTATAACTAAAAAACCTGAATATTAAATAAAAAAGTTATTAAACAAAAAACACTGTAGAGAATCTTGTTACCTCATAGAGGATATTCAAAGAAATTTTCAGTTTAAAGATCTCTTCGTGGTTCTGTATTAAAGCAGGACCACAGGATTGGTCAATTTGTCTTCCGCTTCCTTATTTTATCAACAGTCTTTAGAAGTACGTACAAATAGACTAATTCTTTGTATTTCCGCAAGCTTGATCATTAAAACGATGCAAATATTAATAATGATAATATCCCAATTTTTACTTTCTTGGACGAAGTAAAGGTGGTATTAAATTTTCGGGTGTCATATTTCAACAAAAATAACCATTTTGACGGTTTTTGAATCCATTTGAACAATATTCTTGCGTGACATCTACGTACAGACAGAATAAAGGACACTTTTCACTTCCTTGCACGAAGTAAAGGAAGTTTTGTAATTACGAAAAATTTCGGGTATCATATTTTAACTAAAATATCCATTTTAACAACTCACGAAACTCTTTGAACGATAGTTTTGCGTGACATCTGTACGTACGGAAAGAGTAAAGACTTGCTTTTGACAAAACGAATTGTAAAATGATTTAAAATCGACTCAGAAGAGATCTTTTTCTTGTCGTCTGTACGTACGTATGTATGTATCTCGCATAACTCAAGAATGAGCAGCCGTAGAACGTTAAAATTATTTAAATAAGACTGCAATAACATGTAGTTGTGCACTTTTCTTTTTCGTTGCAATCAGCCGCACGAAACATTTATATATTCCCATCCCGTTACCCGGCTCTATGAGCTCAGTGTTTTTATTGTTCTATGTTGATAAATTGTGCATTTTTTTGCTTTAAAGAGGCTTGAATTTTGTTGTTCTTATGCTCCGGTTAATGTTTTTATACCTTTAGTAATTTAATCTGCATGCGATATTTGTAGAATTATCAACAATTTAAATTCCAACTTCTTAGTAGAATAGTGTATTAAGTCAGTTGGAGCACCAACTTGAGTATCTTTTTGCCCAGTGGGACCCAACGTTAATTTCCAATTTTGTGCACCAAAAACGTATTCTTCCTGCCCGTTGGCTGAATGGCTTGTTTCTGCATAGAAACTTTAATTTTAACTGTAAAAACTGTTTTTTAACTGTTTAAAACTGTATTTTTGCCTTGCCGCGAACTGAGAACTGAGTTGACTGAATGAGAAATATATCTCTAATGAAATTCGGCGAAGTAAGTTTAAATGTTATGCATCAAAAAATGTGTATAATTTAATAGGCCGTACAAGGAAGTCATGTGCTATCCACAACAGATATTTTGTTAGAATATAGTGTTCCTGAGCGTATTCCTCCGTTTCTCATACTTCCCTTCCTAACATTTTCCGCTCGTAATTTACAATAGCAAAATACAAGAATATCAAAATGCAACGCAAATGTAAAATGAATATATTTTAAGTACAGGTCTTTCTTTTAAATAAAAAACATAATAATATTAGTGTGCTTTTGATATCCGTATTTTTAATCACCTAACTTCTTGAGGAAATATACAAAGAAATGCAGTTTGCTCTCATGGTACAACACAATAAATTAGCCAAAGGCAAGAAATAAAGATTTCGCTGTTGCCATCTTTTTAGACTTATTCCTTATCTTTTTCTGTTAATTTTTTTAATTTTGGCTATCATATTATGAAGTCTTATTTAAGATTATAAATCATATATACGGCTTTGGAAGTGACTTATTTTACAATATGCAGCTGACTAGTCTTAAACTTCTTGTTAAATCGAGTAGAACTGACTGGCCTCTGCAAACTAGAGTTAACCTAATTTAATTAGTAATTTTTTTTATCTTTATATTATATGCATTTTTTTTTTTCCTTTTCTAGTTCAGAACAAAGACTAATACAGGGCATGGTAGACAATCCAGTGTATGGTCTAAACTTAGATACAGTAAGTAAAAATTTCGAACCACTTAAATATTAGTTTTCAGAATTTATTTAGCTTCAAAATTGCCAAACGTAGCCAAATTTATCTTCCAAATTTAGCTTTAGGTTTACTTAAATTTAGCTTTAAATTTGTCTGTTGCTTAATCAAAATTTAAGACACTAAGATTAAGTACGGTACTTTCTGGTTGGGCATTCATTATCATACAGTATTTTATTCCTTAGTGTATTTTTCAGATATTCATTATGTGCATTTTTCCATGAAAAATTGACGACTTTTTTATAAAAATTATATTTTCCAACCAATATGGATAATCATATGTTTCAAATTATAAAATTTAAATTATTAATTCTACTTTAATTTCAAGTATTATCTTTATCACCAAATTTTAATTTATTATCCTAAAGAGCGTTAGCCTAAAAGGGCTATTAGTCTCGGAACGGTATTTTGCATCGGTGCACAATAAACGGCGTATAACTTTTTAAATTGTTGCCACCAAATATTATCACCCTGTATTCTATTTAAAGGAATTGAATAATGAAGAATCTGCTTTAATGTATGTGTGTTTCTCGCACTGTGAATAAACGAGCCATCGAATTCTGAATAGCGTAATCCTCCACCCGAACATGGGCACCTGGAAGCGCGAATCTTGAATTTCGAATTTGTATTATAATCTATTTCATTTTGTAAACCTTTGACGAAGTTTTGATTAACAAACTCAACGATTTCATAGCCAGCAATGGCAACACTGCAGGGAAACCAGCATTGTTATCTCCAGGGCGCAAGACTGTCTATCGGAAATTCTAAAGATATGCTGTTTTTAAATACTTTTTGACATTGATGTTGAAGTGAGTTTTATGTGCTTTAAGTGTGAAGAATCTGATATAATAAATAAACGTAATACACAAAAGGTTAACAAAACGCTCCTTTGGGCGTAATATACAATCTGAAAGATTTAATATTTTTATTTTACATTAAGTTATATTAAAATCTATGTTTCTGAATAACGAAATATGAAAAACTTCACACTCTATAAAATTCTACGAATAAAGATAGTTTAAAGTTTTGAACATAAGTGACATAATTTTAAACTATGCTCAACAGAATCACGGATTAATCGGTTCATTTTACTTGCACGAGTGCATCTATTGGTATTCCCATATCAAAAAAAAAAAAAAAAAAAAAAAAAAAAAAAAAAATCTTGAATTAAGCTTTAATTATTGCAGGATTTTTAATAATCATTAAGATAACATTCATTAGTGAGAAAGTAAACTTCAGTAATTAAGAAGTAATTCCAAGTATACAGTCACAAACGATAAGTCACACTTTTGCCAGCAGTTGTTGTGTTGTACTCGTCTTTCACTTCTAATTTCCATTGTAATAGCTTAACCTCATCCTGTGTTCTTGTAGTCGACATGCTGTCAGGTAATTCTGCAGTTCATAAAAATCAATAATATGCAGTAATGCCTCAACTTGTCACCAAGCGTACATGTCACCTAAGCGATAAGCGATATACTATATATTTAAACTTAGAGCGTCTAAAGTTAACCTCTTATTAGATTAAGTTTTTAGCCTCTTATTAGGTTTCTTAATGTATTTATATATATATAGGATGGTTGAAAATGAATATAGGAATTACCATCGGCTATTGCTATTTAATTAAAATAAATTTCGTGATAAGAATTACACAGAGTAGAGAAGGAAGTTCAAAATTTCAATAGTTGTGGCGCAAGCGCAATGAACCAGAAGCCTGCGCATGCGCGAGTTCATACTACGCGACGGTCAGAAATCCGATTCATTGCATCCGTATCATAAACGAAATTGGCCCAGTCCTGTACAGACGGCATTTTGTGTATTAGAATTTAACAACTGACGTTCTGTGATCACAAAAGAGAGAAGATTTGGTTAGCGGTACAGTCAAGTACCTCCAAATGCCAAACAACATTCGCAGATGATGATGATGTCGTGTCTATGACAAAGTGCAATTATATAACTCCGAAGCTGTCAAAGACAGCTTTTGCAACCTCGGCAGCTCTATCGGTATAAAGTAGGTCCACTGGGTCTTCAATGCCAAGATGTGATGGCGAGACAGTGGGATGTCATCTGGGCAATGAGGACAAATGTTGGTGGAACTACGCTGTCCGTCTGCAGAAATCCTCATCCCTTTTAAGTGATTTGTCATAAGTCTGGTTATGATACTCGATATGGCTTTGTCACAGTTCAATTCCGGGATGGAGTTTCCTTTAACTTGACCGATTAGTAACATTCGCAGATGGCATAAGATATTTGAACAAAATGGATTTGTGTGCTAAGCAAAAAATACGGGATGGCCACGTGTATCAGCGGAAAACGCTGATCGAATTCGCCTAAGATATGAACGAAGCCAGTAGAAAGCTGCAAATGCTTTAAAAAACATTTGCTGTGTCCTCAGGAAGAGGCTTAAAATGAACCGTAGATAATTCCTGCAGAAATTGACGCAGGAAGACTAAGTCAAATGTATGAATTATGTTACGCGAATGTTGAACCCATGGAGGATGAACATTGGATGAATTGCTTATAAGGTATTTCTCCCGCTTTCCTAGCGTCCCTTCGTGGTGTAATGGTCCTGCACGCTAGGCCGGTATTCCAGAAGTCCGCGGTTCGATTCCCGGCGATGGCGTTGCTAATTTTGGTTAATCTTTGGAATATGGTAACAGTTAGTTTGGCGGCATTTTGGTAAGGCGATAAAGGTTACTAGCTAGGACTTTAGCAATAATCTGAGAAGTACACAGTTCGAATCACAGATTATTTTGTCTCAGAGAAATGAGAGATCATGAGACATGTAATGTGACATTTTTCGGAAAATTCCAATCGGGATTTTAGCTAATAAGCACTTAGAAACAATTTCGCTGCTAAAGTGCAGAATCGCCCACTTATCTGTTTGGCGCTTTTTACAAGAGTAAGAAGAATTGTATATTTGTCAATTTTCTTTGACTTTTTAAGTGAAAATAGTACATGGATGTGTACACACAAAAATGTGTACATGGATAAAGTCAAGAGTGTGCGCAATGCTATTTTTGCGCAATTCTGGAATGTTTTTTTAAGTGAAAATAGGTCGACGTGTACATGGATACCGTGTATATGCAATTCTTAAAAACGCTGCAAGCAGTGGACGATTCTACACTTTCTCCCAATTTCGCACCTAATCTTTGTCATGACTAAGCATTTTTTTCCATAAAAGTTCTAGCATAAGACTAATTCGGCTAGTAGATTGTTGGAAAAAATGAAAAATGTTGAGTAAAAAAAAAAAAAAAAAAAAAACATGCGTTTAATTCGTAAAAATAAAATAGCGTCCAAAAAAAAAAAAAACTAGCAGGTTGTAGCAGGGTTGGTCGCCAAAGTTTCGCCAAATTACCATAATCCGAAGATTCACCTTAATTTTTCATCTCTTCGGCTTCCAAAAATCCTAATGTCTCTACAATCGAATTTTTAGCGATAAAGCAACCTTTCACGTAAGTGGCAAGTTTAACCGGCGTAACATTCGAATATGAAGTACGGAGAATCCTTGCAGGATAACTGAAAATCAGCTTAACTCATCAAAAGTTAATGTGTTCTGTGCGATTTCAGCACATAAATTATACAGTCCCTTTTCTTCACTGAGTGAAATATTACAGCAGACGTTTACCTTGACATTTAAAGCAACTGCAGATGCCACAGCTGGATACGGATTCCAAAAAGTACGTCTTCCAGATGGAGCACTTTCACACTGAGGTTCACGCATTTTTAAGTCAACATCTTCCAACGGGTTGGATCTGTCGAACTGGAGATGCCGACCATGTGTTCTGCTCTTGGTCATCCTGAGATTTCTTTCTTTTGAGTTATGTGAAAGACCTTGCCTATGTGTTTCTTTTGCCGAAAACCATTCCAGAACACAAAATGCTCATTTCTAATGCGTTTCTGCTGGTGACTCCAAATATGCTTGAGTTTGTATGGCGTGAAATGGACTGCCGCTTAGATGTTGTCCATATTAACAAGGGGACTCACATAATAGTCCTTGTTAATAATAGAAGTCACGTAAACCAAAAGAACATAACCAAAATTTTGCGCTTCCTTTTAAAATCTGTGTAATTCTTATCGATAAATTGTTTTCAATTGAATAATTATAGCCATTTATAGTCATTATATCCACTCTAAATCACCATGCAGATATATATATGTATGTATGTATGCAGTTTGGAAGTGTTTGGAAAGAACTTTTCTCGCAAATCAAGAACAGAAATTCAGTCGATCTTCTTGAATTCTATAATTCTTAATCCTAATCCTGCAAAGAAAATAAAAGTATGGTGTTTCAAATCATACGAAATGGTACAGCTTATTTAATTAGAATAAATATCTTTGAAGACAACGATTCAAGTGCTATATTCCGAGCTAGTCGCCAGTCGGCTAACAACAGCTGTGAACTAGGTAATAAAAACATTCAAAACTACCCAAAAAAGAATTTATTATCGATAGAATGAAACACTGTTTCGAGCAATTAGATAATAGAGTCTGGCTTTATAGACTCGAAGCTTCTGAGTGAAAGAATGTATGTATGGGGATCATGAGAGAGAATTTGTGAGGATCCCCTAAGCTACTTGCTTAGTCCAGAGAAGTGTTGTTCTATAAAATTGCAAGTTCTTACGAATCTATTTTTTTCCATGTGAATAAGATGACAATGGTGTTGTCCACATAAACTTGGATTTTCTATTTTCTTAGCCAGGTCTTCAATGCATCTATGTGACTCTGAAGATGTTGAATGGCTGGACTAAGAAATGCGTTTTGAGCGAGGATTGCTGTATCATCAACATACATTGCTAGTATAGTGTTCGGTGTGCAAGGCATGTCGTTCAAATAAATGTTAAATTATGAGGGTCCTAGTACTGACCCCTGTGGAACTCCTACTGCAATAGCTCGGCGGGTATAATAAATGTCTGAAATTTAAGCGAGAAGATATCTACCCATCAGGTAGGACTTAACTTTGTGCGTAGTGTAACCTGGCAAGCCCAGATTGTGTATTTTGTAAATAAAAGCGTCCATCCAAAAACGATCGAAAGCTTTGGCTATGTCGATAAAGACTTCTCTAGTGATTTTCTTATTCAGTAAACCCTAAGTGTGTTGCACCTTTCTGTAGAGCTGGTAGGATGTGAGCAGTTTCCTATGAAAACCTAATTGATGAGAGATGAGGATGTTTTCGTCCAGACTATCTATGATTTTGTAAGAATGGCAACCTCCATCAGTGTCCTTTTGTATCACCTGTAGTTATTTTTTATTTGCGTTATCGTTGCTAGAATAATAGCTCTCAGAATTAATCAGAAATTTAAATTGCAATTTATCATTTTAAATGTAGGAGCTAAGCAAGTGCATTTTTCTCGACACTAACCAGAAATTTAGAATGAAGTTATTATTTGCTAGTAATAATGAACCACCTCTTTTCCAAAGTTTAATAAATAATCCATTGAATAGGGCTGAAATTAAAATTACTTTGTCTGCGATATTTATAAGTGTATAAATTCTGAACGAGTCAATCATATATGTATACAGAAGCTATATTACATCAGCTGTATCTACACGAAATATATGTCATTCTCCCTAAATTGTTTTGTAATCTGCGACACATTTTAAAGTCATAGATCAATAAATATGTAACATTCACGGCGTTATTACTAAAAGCATTCTTCTTATTCACCACAATAATTGCTCTAAAATTTATCAGCTCTTTCGTCTGCTGCCAATATTCGTTACCCAAACTCGCTAATTTTTCTCTTCTTTTACTTCTAGTTAACTTTGGGTGAACCCATTACGCACAGGTCAATCAAGCATGACGACGTAAGTACAACTTTTATTTGAGAATAAACTTGTTATTTATTAATATTAGTCTATTAACTTTTACCTCTATTATTAAATAATGAAGAATCTATATTGTTACGGATTTTGTATTTAATTTGCCATTTTTAGTAGAATTGTGATTAAAATTGTTTTATTTCCCCGTGCAAAGCAGCGTGTGACGAGTTTTAAGAAAATACGCCGTAAAAGTAAAAATACAGGAGCATTTAGCATTTAATAAATAGATATCTCGTAACTGTACTCTTTTGCTTTTCCAGAAATCTCGAGAAAAGACCAGAATGTTCTCGTGCATGATTAAAAAGCTTTAAAAAGCCGGAGGAAAACATCTCAGTTCAGTTGTTTACTTATTTGTTGTTGTTGACTGTAGCGAATTCGCAGTGAGATCGGTTTAGCTTTCTCTGCGTTTGAATTGTGTTCTGTTAACGCTTTAGTAGTTTAAAATATGATTGCTGTGTGATATTGTGATGTTGTACGAATAGCTGTGATGAACAAAATTTCAGCATTTTGTTTTATTGCTTGTGATAAGTATAAATTTTATTAACTTTTCATCAGACTTGTGCATTCAATTTATTACGAACCCGTACGTTTGCAACACTGTCTATGTCTCTCGCAATGTGTAAAAATGGCAGCAACCAGAGCCATCCAATTTTAACATACGTAGTCCTCCACTGGAATATGTGCATCTCGAAGCCTGAATTTAAAATTTCGAATTTGGATTTATTTTGTATTTTGTGTTGATTTTTTGAATTCTTGATTAACAATCACGGCGATTAAAAACTGCGTTGCCGCTCAGTAAAGCGTAAGTTATTTACGTGGCAGTGTGTTGCCATTTCCCGAAGCACAATATATTTAACTTTCCTTTCAAATTTAATCTGTGTGTTATTGATTAATAAAATAAACGTTTTAATCGATCGGCGGGCACTTGTCTTTTCAGCATTGATCACTCCTAAGGCCAGAAGTGGTGGCCATTTTATTGTGGAGGCACCTAATAGGCGGCCACCGTTACCTCCTATGATGGGACAGACAAATTACATTCATGCCTTCTCCGGGATTCGAGCCTAGGTTCTTCGGCATTCCAGTCGGCTCCCCTAACCACTATACGGTCTGGGCGAGACAAAATAAATTATTATAAAGGCAATATGTTCTTGATCCCTACTGTTATGAAGTGCTAGCTGAAGCGGTGAAAGTATACTAGCCAGAATCATTAAAAACATTACGTATGTTTTCTTTTTTACAGTAATTGTGTTAAGCGGCTGGATGTACAAATGGCAGATCACGAATATTTGTAGAACACAGATAATTCGAAACTATCAATTTTCGTGAATATTGTATACGTTTATTTCCTAAAAAATCAGCAATTTTCCTTTATTTTTGAGATATATGTGAAAATTTCCTACTTATTTTTCGAAGCACACTTATCACTGTATTCGAATGTCTGCAAAGTCCAAAGTGTTTCAACAAAAGTTATTGCTGTCTCAGGTCGCGTAATTCACAAGTGCACATCAGTATCGAAACTGAGGAAGGGGCTTCATAAATGAACCAAAGTGCTTCTATTGTTCTTGTGACTCCTGAATCTTTGAAACTGTGCGTGTGAGCGCATGTTGTTATTTACGTTTTATTTTGAGTGTCATTCGCAGTGGTAAATGTATGGCGTATAAATGCTTTTAGAAATCCTTTTAGAAAAAATCTAGTAGTGCTTTCGTTTTATTAGTTTATTTAATCGTAAACATTTCACTTTCGCGAAACTTATCACCCACTGATAATCGGATAAATATTCGTGGCTTATTATTGCTCTTTTTTATCGCTTTTGCCTCTTCTGCTCTTCTTTTGCAGCATGATTTTGTATCGAGAAAATGACTCAAGCTACAATTAACCCCGAATTTATGCATTTGATAACTAACACCTGTGAATTAAGAGAATTTATGTGTATAATTTTTTATTAAGTTGGAAATAACAGGAAATATTACAAAAAATCTAGCATTTTCAGTGCTCGTATTCCTTTGATTTTGAAGGTGTAAGATTCAAAATATATATTGTAAATGACCTGATTATACCTAATGTTAACATTAAAAGTTATGTTTGAATAAATTAAATATATTCGTTGTGAATAAGATAGATTCATTCTATTATTCATTCTATTTGAAGAGCATAAATGAACAATTATTAATGTGAAATTTGACATATTAAATACGTAGGAATGCAAATTAGGAAACTTCACTTTAAAATTTATTCCACTTCTGTGCATTGTCTACTATTATAGAACATCTTTTTCAGATAGACTGTAATAAAAGATGCTGACTTCTACTATTGACATATATAAATATGCTTATATTTGATCTAACTTCGCGCTGAAAATTTTTTCAAGAAATCCACAATGCTTTAATTATTTTGTACAGGAAAAAGCGTGGCAAAACATTTTCAACCACCTTGCAAAGGTCATGTGAAATGGCAAAAATATTGCTTGATGCACATTGGTCCATTCTAGAAGCCACTCCTTCGGTGGCGATACTGCTGTGTAACGCCCACCAGCGGCCGAGCGGTAAAGCCGCTGAACACTGAGTTCGGTCCGAGGTTTGAATCCCGCGAACGGGCTGGGTGCATGGGCGTTTTCGGGGTTTTCCCCATGTGTAACGTGTATACGAGCCAATTTCTCTCGAGCCAATTCAGATAGCCCTCGAGGCTTTGTCATAATCACACACGCACACATTTTTAATTCTACAATTTTAAATCAGTTTTCAAAATAATAGAAAAGAAATATGCATAACAATGCGTGCGAAAGAAAGAACTCTCAGTTATCAATAGAAAAGATGACTTCAGCCATGCACATACAGAACAAACTGTACGAGGTAATCGTTGAAACTGGAACTTTGGAACTTCAAGATGCAGTTTAGCATTTCTTAGAGTATGCTAGAACTTGCGCGTGTTTGTTTTTTATATGTTACCGGCAAAGTATGCCTAGGCATTCTATATAATGCCAGACGATTTTAGGCAAAGTATGAAATAAGAGAATTATTACATACTTCACCTAGGCATTCTATATAATAGCTATGGCATTCTATAGAATGACAAATTCTCTTTAGGCAAAGTATGAAATAAGAGAATTTTTACATGCTTTATCTAGGCAATGTATATAATACCTAGGCGTTGTATAAAATGACAAATGCTCTTTAGTCAAAGTATGGGAAAAAAAGGGTTATGATAAGGCTATTATTTAAAAGACGTTCATTCCTCTAAAATACAAATATTATTTTGAAAAATTAGGGGAAATGTGCCATTAAAAATCTGTTATTCGAAATATGTAAAAAGAAGATAGGGAGATGATCTTGATAAAACATATATAAATTTGTATTTTCTATCTGGCTGAGACTGGGTATCGGTAAGATCTACCTGACAAAGGAAGTTAAATTCAGAAACAACCATAAGTTCTACCTATCAGTGCCCTTTTAACACCTTTTTATTTTTCCTGGCGGTACTCACAAAGGTGGTTGTTACAGTTCAATATCGTTACGTTTAACGTTTCTGTAATTGGTTGAAGGTTCTTTCGACATTCTGTCACGTCGTTCTTGTGCAGTACTCAAATGAGTTTTCATGAAGTACGGAAAATAACTCAGCGTCCGTGACGTAATACTGAATAGTAGTAACGCTTTCTTTAACAGGGTAAATGAAGGAACTTTTGTTTTCTACAAGCATCTCATCCTAGCCATTCAGCGGCAAGCAGTCCCGTGGTTCCTTCTAAATAGTCATTATCGTTTTTTTACGCCATTTATTACTTTCTGGTTAGTAATTTCTGGTAAGTAGTTTCGAAACGAATCGGAAATGTATTTCATACTTTGCCGGTTTGTCATTTGGAATTCTATAGAATGCCTAGGAAATCTGTGAAATATGAATCGTTTCACACATTCCCGGCTAGTTTTAGACCTTATATACAGTGCCTAGGCTTTCTGTAGAAATGCTGGATTTCATACTTTGCCGGTTTGTCATTTGGAATTCTATAGAGTGCCTAGGAAATGTGTGAAATATGAATCTTTTCACACATTCCCGGCTCGTTTTAAGCATTATATACAGTGCCTAGGCATTCTATAGAATGCTGGATTTCATACTTTGCCGGTTTGTCATTTGGAATTCTATAGAATGCCTAGGAAATGTGTGAAATATGAATCTTTTCACACATTCCCGGCTAGTTTTAGGCATTATATACAGTGTCTAAGCATTCCATAGAATGCTAGATTTCATACTTTGCCGGTTTGTCATTTGGAATTCTATAGAATGCCTAGGAAATGTGTGAAATATGAATCGTTTCACACATTACCGGCTAGTTTTAGGCGTTACATACAGTGCCTAGGCTTTCCATAGAATGCTAGATTTTATACTTTGCCGGTTTGTCATTTGGAATTCTATAGAATGTCTAGGAAATGTGTGAAATATGAATCGTTTCACACATTACCGGCTTGTTTTAGGCATTATATACAGTGCCTAGGCATTCTATACAATGCTGGATTTCATGCTTTGCCGGTAACATATACACCGTTGTGCACAGCGTTGAGTGCGCCTGCGTAGACACCGCCACGCACGGATAATTTGCCAACAGGATTTATGCACACACAGATAATCGAGAGTGCAACGTATGTTCAAAAATTCACCTAAAATATTTTCATACTTAGAATGCAATGTTTATTTACAAAAATTTCAAATGTGTATTATTAACTTAACTTTTAATGTAGTTGGAATGGCTGGTAAAAATCATCTAATGTTCAGTTCTAATAGAAAAAATCATTTAATAACCTTGAAAATAATTGACATTAATTTACATTGTTCTAATAGAAAAAAATCATCTAATAACCTTGATAAATGTGGCATTATTTTTTGTGTTATCAGGATATTTATTGCTTTCATCTTATTAAATTTTTCTTTTCTTCTTCAGGGTGCTGGAGCGACGGGAATAGAAAATCCATTGTATGCTTCTAAGTCGGACCTCAAATGAGAGATAAAAGGATTCCAGACTTCTTTCAAATCATATTACACCTATTTTTGCACGAAAGTCGAACTTTGTCATAATTCATAATTTAATATGTATTTCATGTATATTACCAATGTACAGCTAAATGAGCTTCAGCTGAGATAAAGCTATGGTTTGTTTGGAATTTATTCAGTCATCATGTAAAAAATCACTGCATAGTTTATTTAAATAAATTACTTACTTCTTATACGTGCTTCATTTTTAAATACATTTTCACATATTTAAGTCTCATGAGAAAGTATATGCGTAAAACCTTTAGTAATTGTAAAGAAGCGAGACTTTTTAAACCTTCCAGTTATATTCACAAATTATTTAAAAGCATTCAATATAAGCCAAGTTTCATAATAATAAGTAAAGTATTAAATACTTCATAAAGTTCACTTATATTATCTTAATACTTTACTTTTATACGTAAAGTATATAAACAGAGTAACATACAATGAAATGTACATTGTAAATGTATAAATTTTTATATTATTAGTCGCATCGTTTACCAAACTAGTGCAGAATACAACTTAAGCACATGAAGCATTTTTCACAAATCACATTCCTTTCATTTTACATATATCAACCAAAACATTCTAAATTTTTAGAACTTTTTTGCATTTACAGCAAAGTTATATTGCATGATGGAATAATTTAATATACGAGTATTCTCCAACCCTCCTGGCCGATAATAATCGGCCTCATGGTTAAGGCAGCACACCCAACGCAGATTAAAACAAAAATACAGTTAAAAACATCAAATCAAAATTTTTAGTATTTGTTCTATTACCATTTACGAGGGCATTTCGAAAAGTAAAGATACACCGTACGCGAAAGGAAAAGAAAAGTTTTGGTGAGCAAGTTGGCAACACAGGTGTTAACCTTGAACCGCTAGCTTTCTCCTCGCGGTCGTTCGGCATTTCAACGTTGATTCTGGTTGGAGTAGGTCGTGTTTAAAATGGCTGCGCCGATTCAGAATCCCGAGAAATGCGAAGTGCGCTCCGTCATACGTTTTCTTCATGCAAAAGGTCAATGACCAGCGGATATTCACAAAGAAATTGTTTCTGTTTATGGTAACATTATGAATCGACAAACTGTAATGAAATGGTGTCGTCATTTCTCTGAAGGTAGGACCGATGTTCATGACGAACAAAGAACAGGTCGGCCATCTGTGATCTCGGATGCCCTTTCTTCAGAGAACAGAGAACAGAGGAAGCAATTCGTGCGAATAGATGTCTCAAATTGAAAGAATTGCATCAGATCATACCGGAAGTCTTAATGACAACTCTTTATGAAGTTGTGACTGTCAAGTTAGGGTACAGGAAATTGTGTGCGCGCTGGGTTCCTACAGGCGGCAACTTTCTATGACTGTGGGATACAAAAGCTTGTGCACCGACTTAACAAATGTTTGGATAACGGGGGTGATTATGTCGAAAATAATAAATAATCCATTTAATAAGATGTAACTGACGGTTTTTATTTATTTATTTATTTATTTATTTTAATATATAAAGGAATGCGAGCCATTGTATCTTTACTTTTCGAAATGCCTTCGTATAAAGTTCATCAACTCCTCTGCATATCTAAACTCTTTATTGCAGTAATAGAATTCCTTTATATTACAATGTTTTTCCCTAACATGTCGCAATAATGCGCATTCTTCGAAGAAGTGTTGTGCATTGCCTTCAGGACTAGAAAAATTACGAAAACTATTATTTTGCAAATTATATCTTTCCAGGTACACCGGTAAGCGCCCGTGTACAGTAGTTACTTTATTGTAATCAAAATAACATATCATTCACATATTTTTAGAAACTTTAAAGTCCAACAAATAATCTTTCCTTTTCTCTTTCTAGCAGTCATAATAGAAATCTTTGATTTTACCAATAACAATTCTTTTTGTTGCCTGAATATGAAACGCATCCCCGGCACTACTCATAGCAGACTGTTTTGGCCAGCATGTGGATAATGGAAAATCGTTTTAAAGTCTTTCAAATTTTTAACAAATTCATTAGAGAACATTTAAATTTGTGGCAGTAATATTAAATCTAGATCGAAATAAATAATTATCAACAAAATAAATATTCTACGTTCGCAATGTTTTCGCTAAAAATATTCTTTTCTTTCTACTCAGTGTTAACTACGTCACGACTTTCATTTTAGAAATTTTTTCTCTGTCTTCTTCCCCCCCCCCAAAAAAAACATATACGTTCTTTACATATGTTGGCAGATTTCTAAAATGTTTATATTTGATTGCTGTTAAATGGGGTAAAATAAACAATCACGACAATAATATCAAAAATTATTTGATTTTGCCCTTTTTATCTGCTTATCTACCTTCGTTAAATTAGTTGAACGCATTTTCAATGATGCTTAGTGAATATGTTCTTTGATCGAGGGCAGATCACAAAAAATAAACTGAATTTCAACAGCCTTATCAGATTTCATTTGTGTAACCCTTCTAACACTAATTTTTCTTGCTGTTTTGTGCTGATATGTGATTAGAAAGAAGTATGTGAAGAATAACAGCAAGACTGTACGATATCCTTTTTATACACATGAATTCTGTATGTTTCCCTGAATTGCAGTTGTTTCAACTTTACATCCATATTTTACTCTGTAATATGATTTAGCAGATGTTTGATATATATACAGAGGGAAAACATCACTAATAAGCATCACTATAATCCCCACTAAACTGCACAAACTTGTCGAGAAATTGCTAAACTACCAATTATTTACTTAAATTAAAATAATAAGGAAGGAATATTACATCAGGAGTCTTCCTTCATCATCGTGAACATCTTGTCTGCGTGCTCGTTTAGATGGGGCGTGAAAGTTACATCGTACAGTTAGTTATCGCCAGATGCTGGCATATAAGCATATTAAGCTATAGTCTGACTAAAGGAAATACTCGTCATATGTAAGTAAACGGAAGTGCATTAGGCGGGAGCGTCACATTTTTTGAGCTCTCACGTTTCTACTAAATAAAGGCGGAAAAATCAATAATTGAACATCGAATCATGTATAAGTAGTTGCAGAACTTTATCAAGAATGCGGGGGTGTAAATTTTATGACGCTAATATACATCGTTTATAAATAATTAACAATTGATTGAATTTATCACGTCTTACGAGTAACTGACAGCTATATACGAAGCATGCCTGCAGTTTTGCATCTATTTCAAGTGCCTCTTCAGTGAAATTCTTTATGAAAGTCATATTCAAATGTGCAGTGATCAACGAAGATCTTGCTGATAAAGGTTTTGTTCCTGTACGGCTCTTAGGATTTTAATTATTCATTTTAATTTAAACTTTACTTAGGCAAGTCTCTGCAGAAAGTATACGACCCCTGTAAAGAACGTTTTCACCCCTCGCCTCTTTTGTGCTTGCAGAAGTTGGGGATCTGTTGAGAATCGTTAAAAATCCCCCCATATTCTCGACCATGGAGGTATGAAGTAAGCAATTTCCTACCTCCATGTTCTCGACCTTGAGAGCATTCAAGTTTCAGCGGAAAGGATAAAGGCATTTCCTAGATGTGAGATAACTACCCAACTTTTATTGCTTCTGTTTGCATTATACACATTCGAGGAACGACTGCAAAAAGTAGACTTTTCTGAATTTAATTACCCCGAAGTATTCAAGTAGTTCAGTTCACAACGTGAATTATTTTATTCTAAATGCAGACTCTAATAACAAACAACATTCTAACGCAATTATCTAATCCTCAACGTTGTTATAAATCTTTCTGTCATAGTAGGTACTGTTAAAATTCTGCTGACTTATTAATCTAATATTGGATTTATTAAGAGTGCATTAATTTATCTTAATGACTCTTAATTAATGTGCAATAATTTATCTTATATAATTTTATTTTGCTTATTATAACAACTAATAATATTTTTATTATTTTCATTATTGTACTATATATTAATGAATGCATAATATAAATTGGTTTTGAATTTATCGTGATTAACTGTCTACTCATTTGTTTAACCTTTCTTTTACTACAATTTTATTGTCTACCTGTAGTAGTAATTTGCTTATTGTATGTTGCTTATTATATGTATTGATTGTTGCTATTTGTTATTCCAATTTTGTAATGTTATAGTGCGCTGCGGACGGTTTTTTCCCCCTTCTTTATTAGTGTTCATTTTCCTGCCATTAGCGCTAGTTCTTGCAAGCAAACGAAGTGTTCTCACCTAATACCGTAACTTCAGTGCTATATACTGTTCTTACATTTGCTTTGTATTCCTCCGACTCTCTTCATCGAACTGTGAGCCCTCTGTGCTAGGATTAGAAATTTAACAGGTTGAGAGACTCACTTAGTATTTTATTTTTAAGTTAATATTACTATTTTATGTTAAATCGGGTCAAGAGAAACCTCCTCAACTAGATCAATTAGGACTACCAGCTCGAGGTGTGTGAGCCCAGTGAGAATAGATCATCCATCTTCCAGATTAGATAGGATTAACACTTTGATTCTGCACATCAAGTCACCTTTAGCAGAGTACAGAGGCCGTTCTAAACTAAAAATCGCAGACCACGAAGCGGTCTCCAATTATATCACAGAAATCCTGGCTATAGCTTCTAATCAGGAAATCTTAATTGCACGACAGGAGGGACAAATACTTCAACTAGAACGACAACTTAGTGCCAGTCACTTCTCTCAAGCAAGACAGCACAGTTTTAAGGTCCCGGAGATACAAGAAAACCATCCTACAGGACAACAAGACTGCCGGTAAGATTGTGTGTGGCCGGTAAGATTCAGAAAAAGAAGCCCCCTTCCATACAAGCAACAGCCATTCCCAAGCAAAAGCCTTCTGAGCACGTTTTACTTATCAAGAGGAAAGATTCAGAGTGCACACCAGATAGTGTGAAAGCAAAAATTCTAAACAACATCAAACCTCATAAGCTTGGCATCAACATACAGCAAGTGAGGGCCACGAGATCTAAAGAACTCTTGATTAGGTGCAAAGAGGCCACACACCTGCACAAACTTAAAAAAGTAATTGAAGAGTCCAGCGTGCTGACAGAGCACTTAGAACTAAGGATTCCCCATCCGTTTAGGAGCTCTCTCATAGTATTTGGGGTACCCCGGAACATAACGGCAGACGAAATAAAAGCAGCATTTGAAGATCTTTTGCCAGAAACGCGGTCGCCAGTTATCTTTCCAAAAGGCCCAAGACCTCGGGACGAAACT